AAAATAAGTTAATATATTTTTAAAAATTTTTAAAAATATATTACCTTCATTTTTTTATCAAAGAAGTTTTTTTTATTTTTATTTTTGAACAAATTGTTAAAGGCGAGCTTCAAATTCACCCATAAAGCAAGAGAATACATTTCAAGCTGGCAGGTTGCTAGTTGATCTTTTCGGAGTGAGGTGCGAAGTATTTTTTAATTTATATTGTATTATATTGTAAATATTTATTATTAAATAATGAGACCCTTATTAAAGATATAATTTTTTTATTTAATAATTAATATTTTATAATTTAAATTATACTAAAATACAAAACAATTTGCCCTTTTTTACTCTCCCCTTTATTTTTTTTACTTATCAAACTTTTTTTTGTGGAATTTTATTATCCGACTTTAGCCTGATATGGTAATAAAGAAACAGAAACGTGCTTTTCAATTTGAACAAGAAGGAGAGAAAGAAGCATTTCGAATTAAAGAAAATAATTATGGTTTTTTTATTTTTTTTCAAAAATTAAAACTGTATGGATAATTTTTAATTCACCTTTATTATCCTTACTAAAACTAAAATAAAATAAAATTGATGATAGAATAAATAATTAAATTGAAGTGATAAGAATTGAGTTAAAATTAAAGAATACTTATAAAGTAACTAGTAAAATTATTAACATAAAAATCCGTCTTCTCTTGTATGGTCACAATTTCAAACCCTCATCTCCCTCCTTACCTCTCTCTTTCCTAAGCATTTCAATCAGTTGATATATTTTATAAAAAATAAATATGAATAGAGTTTGAAAAAAGTGTTCATTTACATCAAACAATTGAAATGATGGTTAATTTAAGGAAAATAAACTACTTATTAATGTGTAGTTTGAATTGTAATACACAAACCTTGTAACAAAAATATATTTAGCATGTATTTAATTTAATTATTAATATTACCATCAATCATATAGTTTGGTGATAATAAAATTCTTAGTGATCGTTTTAAGGGCTCTAATCTCTACTTACAAAAATTTTTTAGTAATTAATGTTCATCTTTATCCTTTTTTAATTCACTCTACAATTTAAAATTCATCAAATAAAAGTCAATACCTTTAGAGGTAAAATTAAAATAAATTTTTTTACAATATTTTATTGAAGATAAAAATTCAAAATTAATCCAAGCCACGGTGACAACCGAAGGTGCTTATTGCAGAAATTTTTTGAATAATTGTAAACTTTTTAGTTATGGAAAAGGGACGTGTTACGCTTTTATAAATAATCATTGGTATATTTTTCCAATTTTTCCCTCCCTGATATATTAAAAAAATGAATTTACTATATTTATCGATTGGGATCAGACAAAGAGTGAGGAAGTTTCAAAATTATACTTTGAAATTGTTATAATAAACCTCGTAATTATCCTACCCAAATTTTAAGAAGTCTTAATTTTGGTCATCACAGCACCTAAATGAATGAGATAATTTTATAGCAAAGAGTTATTGCTTGATGGGTAACTACAATAAATGCATGTATTTTTCATGAACAGGTATCGAAGTAGTAGGTTGAACACACAATCTATCTTTTTAAACACAATTGTAATGGGTTAGTGGGTTGTACATTAAATATAGTTTTTTTTTTTCAAACTCCTCAAACTCCTCTTTACTCG